CCCAAAACCCCAAAACCCCAAAACCCCAAAACCCCAAAACCCCAAAACCCCTTAATTTGTTAAATAGGATGAAATTAATCAATTTTCTGTAAAGGATTTGATGTGTGTGGCAATGGTGGTTTAGGGTTGCTACTTTCACCTAGCTATAAACACATTAGATCACTCAAAACAACAAAGAGTAGAAGAAATCAACGCGAAATTATCTTGAGAAGAAAGAAAATCACTTACTCTTCTCCAATCAGAGCTTTTCCTAGTTTCTTCATTCCGTCTTGTCAATGAAGTTTTCTTCTTGTTCTTCTTTGGCTTATCCTTCATTAGCCTATCGTACTTGTTGAATAAATATTCGGCTTTCAAAGAGTCAGGAGTGGGGGACTTATTTCCTGCATAATTCTCAAATCCTATCCTTTTAGAAGATGAGCTCTTTGAGATATTCCTCCTCTTACGACTTTTACTCTTTGAGTTAGATTTTTTACTAGGCGGAACCTTCTTTTTAGATGAGTTAGATCTACTAGTTCTAAATCTCTCCATCCTTGGAGATTCCTTCCTTAGAAATTTCTTACTATTCGAAAGAGCCCCTGTTCTCTCAGAATCTGAGTTATGGGCTGTTTTAAATACACTCGAAGGTGTATACTTATCATTGAAATTCTTACTGATTCTCTCCTTGCTTCATTGCCTGGAGATACTTCTGCTCTTCTTATGTGATTTAGTTTCCTTCTTCTTTCGAGTGAGCCAACTCTTGAATGCCTGCTCGCATTCAAGTTGTTTCCTCATCTTGCTTCTTTCCTTGTCCTTTGTGTTGCGTCTCTCCTTCGACTCAAGTCTCTTCTTGCTTTTCTCTCTTTTAAGTGTCTTGAGGCTGTTCTTTAGCCATTCTGAGAATACCTTGTCATTATTGTAAGCTTTGATTTTCTCCATACTTTTGCGATGCTCGTTCTGCTTCTTACGCTGACTCCTAGATCTCTTCTTCTCTTTCTTCTTAGTCTTAATCCAATCAGTGACTACAAGGTCTCCTTTACGTTTCTGGACTAGAGCTTGCTCAAGTGTGCGGGTGAGCTCATTATGTAGTTCTTTCCTTGTCTCCTTAATAAGTTTATTTTTGAGTTTATTCTCAGTGTCTTTCTTGATACACCATTCCTCATAGCTCATTCTATTATTCTTTATCTCTCTGAATGCCCTGTCCATCGCATTCTGGGCAGGAGTGGAGTCATGCTCTGTAGGTGTTTGGTATTTTATCTCAGGAATTTTATTAAAATCATTTATATTTTCTCTATTTTTTAGAAATGTTCTTACTTATTCCATAGCTGATCTAGATTTTTCATCTTATTTACGAATAACTTTGTCAATTATGTCCTCTGTTTCTTTGGGGATTTTTATTTCTTTGGGACTTTTTACTTTCTGGAGAACTTCAATCACTCTTGAAGCACTCTGGAGACCATCTTTGCTAATTTTAACGGGGTCTTCGAAGCGCTCTCGTGATCGGATTCTTTCTTTTTCATTAGCAATCTTAAGCGCTCTTGTAAACTCATCATCTGAATATCTTAATTCCTTCTGTACTGGGGATATCAAAAACTCTTGTGTCTTCGCAAGATCGTTCATCCTTAACTCCTCTTGCACAAGCGCTCCCTTGGAGTAGAAGTTCGAACTAGGATTGAAGCTACCATAATTCCAAGACATTGGAGCCCCATCTTCATACTGGCCAATGCCTACGTTTATTCAGGAGTTACTTTTAGAAATACCTTGCTTCATAACTGGGATTTCAAATTTAAATTTTCAAATATAACTTATTTTAAGGGGTTTTGGGGTTTTGGGGTTTTGGGGTTTTGGGGTTTTGGGG